ACGCACAAAGCTCAATTTGTAAAAACTCCTTGCCAAAATTCCACGCCCGTCGAGACTGTATTCATCCGTCGCATCATCTTGTGAGCTTGTCCTGAATCCTCTCACGCCAATCCCAAAGAACAGTCTCCCAGATTTGAGCTCCACGCTTTGCTTCCTCCGTCAGGTATAAATATCGGCGTGGGCGTGTATTTGGTGACCGGCTGAGGCCAGAGAAAGTCGACGAGAGGTGTGGTCATTGGAATAAGGATGTACTAGGTCGTACTTGTAGACTTGATGAGACTTAGTTGAGAGTCAAACTCGTTGGGAGCGAGAAAATGACATGGCGGAGTATTTTGAATCATCGCCTCGTGGGCCAACTTGTTCGATATTGCGAAATTTGACTAAACTTGGCTCTGGGAGAATATTTGTTGGAAAAAATACTCTGTATAACATTATGTGGATAAATATAATAAGTAAAGAAGACTTCATATTCTACAACGATGGGAACATTGGACTTATTTAAACATCTAAGGGAGAAATTCCCGCTAGTCTCATGTGCCTGTCAAACCTAGTGATGACCAGCCACTTCTCATCTACCATGATGAGCCAGAGTACACTGTAGTACGTAAATATCCAAACGTATATGCAACAGTAGGCACGATTAACGCACTCGGGACATGTGTAGAGAGAGTCGATCTTGTCGGGAACCTGAGACGAAACAGGTAATGGTTGAGTCCTAAATTTGAGAGTTAGAATTTCCAACAATATTTCACTCCCAGGTTTGTAGAGGATACCGCGTACAGGTGTTCAGTCTTGCCCTCCAAGATCGACTCTCTCTACACATGTCCCGAGTGCGCTAATCGTGCCTACTGTTGCATATACGTTTGGATATTTATGTACTACAGTGTACCTTGGCTTATCATGGTAGATGAGAAGTGGCTGGTCATCACTAGGTTTGACAGGCACATGAGACTAGCGGGAATTTCTCCCTTAGATGTATAAATAAGTCCAATGTTCCCATCGTTGTAGAATATGAAGTCTTCTTTACTTATTATATTTATCCACATAATATTATACAGAGTATTTTTTCCAAAAAGAAGTATTTTTTATTATTACTAATTCATTTTATTGTCCTGTCTAAGTATATGACTACGTAGGATATGAGGGGACTATTCTCAACACCTGTCAGCGGTGTCCCCTACGAACCTCCAGCTCTCACTGTTGAGTCTGCAGAGCCGAGATTGAGTAACAAAGTCCTCACTTCGAAGAGGATTCCCAATCGCTTTTGCGGTCTGTTTTGTCTTCATATCTCAACACATCCCCCTATCACCATTATCATGAAGCTAACCACGATCAGATCAGATGGTAGGGTCGGAGCCCTACTCATCACCAACCCTTGATCACGGAGGAAAAGCCACCCGATGAGTTTCCGGAGCGTACCCAGCACCCGATACGGAGATGGTGGATTGGATCAAGTCGGCCTCGACTGCTACAAAGAAGGGAGATATAGATGAACATGCGCACCTCATGTGGTCCCGATGTCTAGGCCTCGCCTGGCTGGGGCTGCAGGTTTTTTGAGACTTTTTCCCGCTCACGCAGTTTCCATTGCTACCATTTTTATTTTTTTTGGGGTGGAAGGTTCGGTGGAAAAGGTGGCTGAATTCCACGGGTAAAAACTGAGCTGAATGGCTATTATCAAGGGGAATATATCAATGATCTTTCAAGTAACAAAAGAGGATAGGAGCACTGTACAAGGTGTGGCCTGGGTCAGAGAGGAGCCCAATGTGCTAGATAGTCATAGACTCAAGTAGCACAATAAACACAAACACATACGTAGGATATGCAGGTTCTCTCTGCCTACAGGTCAAGGATACCTATGCCAGTAGTATATCCCATCCTATGCCTCCCATACAGCTCCCCTCAAACAGTACCACACCTCACAAGTCCTCATTCGATCATACACTAAGAGGAGCCCGTTGCCATTCATTATATCCCATCTTCAGCCAGCGAATCGATGGCCATTTTTGGGTGTATGGCAGCCGAGAAAAATCGCAAATATCACTGCGTGCGGAGCTCTCCTAGTACCGACATTAGGACTAGATCCGAGGACATAGTGACTCTTCTGAAGCGTTCGAAGAAGCCAGCCAGCTGGACGCTGCAGACTTGTGTGTACATTGGGAAATTCACCCTCTGCCTTTCTAGTCTCCTTCCAACACCTTCCCGAAGGTCGTGCTGAAATGTCAGAAAAGTCTTGACAGAGCGTGATTGCTGAATGGTAGCTTAGCCCAACTTCTCTTGTGCCGCCCAGGGCGCTGGGGAGTGCCGTTGACTCATCGACAATTGAAGTCCTCCTAGCTAATTAGCCGAAATCTTGGTCTTGGCGCCCAAAAAAATACAAAGTTGAAAGCCCCTCGAAAATATCAGTTCCAGCATGGTCTTCAGAGATCTGTTCCCCCTCTCGCTCCACATCTCAGCCGCCTGTCCTTCCTCAAGATGTATAACCCCATTAGAGCAACAGTCCCCCGTAAGCCAAGACCCAGGCTTTGTATATTATGATTTAATTTCCTCCTTGCAGGTATAAATAGCGTCTTAAATATGTAGTGAGAGATTGCTGGAAATTAATGGAGCAAGCTCCTGTATGCAATTGGAGCAACTTCTTTATTGGTCGTCGAGGCGAGATGATGTGTGGTTAGAGAGATGTTGAGGACTCAGATGAGTATGCTAAGAGTGGCATTGTCGAGAAGTCGTCAGATGGAGATGTGCTTGAGGTTGCTTTCGACTTCAATTCGGATGCGATTCTTCTTGGCTATCCCACATATGCAGAGCATACTGAGCGTTTACGTCGGCACCACTGGAAGGTGAAGAATCCGTCTTTACCGACTAGACTTCCCCATGAGCAGGCTTGTAATCCATATATTGAGTGGATCTAGTACTCACTATCTTTCATTGTTTGATCGCTAGCTCGCACTTGGCATGTATGATTTTCATATATCTCAATAGATTCCCGAGTTAGATATATAATTAGTAGAAAATTGAAATGATATGCTGCTTGAAGTACAGGATTCAGAGGCCGTTAATGAATGACGACTCAGATACTTACTAGTTAGAATATGAAAGATGACAATATTCTCTCTTGAAAATTTAATTCATCAAGTTTACGAATTCAAGTTTAGTCAGCTTTGAAAATGGCCTCGGACGAGTCAAGCTCAAATGTTTCGAGATCAGTTGTCTAATTCATCACTGTACACATGCACACAAGGACACCGAATCCACAGGAAGGTTGAGAGACGCTCTCAGGTATACACAGGTCTGCTGCGCCCGGCTGGCCGGCCTCTTCGTCATAGGAGAGCCCCGCACCAAGTGGTTTTTGAGACTTTTCCCTGCAGCTACACACCTGCAAATGGCCATCGTTTCGTTGGCTAGAGATGTGAGATAATGACGGGATAACGGCTCCTCTTAGTGTGTACTTGAATGAAGACCTATGGGAGTATTACTGCTGGAAAGAAGTCGTGAGGGAGGCAAAGGAGGGAGTACACTACCCGAGGCATAGATACTCCCGGCCTGTGGGCAGAAAGGACCTACATGTCCTTACATAGTTGTAGACTTTTTAGGACAATAAACAACCACTCACTCACTCACACCGAATACACTTCCTACACTTCAAGGGCCGTGGTTTTAGCCTTGTAAAAATGGCTGTTGCACTAATGCAAGGGAGTAAGCCCAAGGTTAGGTATTTTGCTGTATCATAGCCCTATTTTCGCTTATTATATGATGATTTTTGAAGCTTGTGACCAAGTCTGAATGCCTTAGGGATGATCGGCGTCAAATACACATCTGATAAGCGATCGACGGCCTTCAAGTGTTCTGCCCTGTGCACACCAGCTGACTCATCTTCTGTGTAAGAAAAATTGCGAGAAGCTGTTTTTTGCACAATAACAGCTTTTATAGTTAGTACCGTGGTGATTCGCATCAAAATATCTCAAGGTTGTTGTGAGTAATTACATATCAAAATGGCAAAATATCACCCAAATATTAGCTGCTCAATTGATGTCCTCTCGCTCAAAAGAGCACTGTAGAAACAAGGGGCCGGGCACTAAAACTCTCGAAAAAATTACTATTGTGAGAAAACTTAGGAAGAAGTAGCCTCCGCGCAGTAAATCGTTATAATTGACATTCACTTCTTTCTATGGACAGGTGCGGTGTTGAAGTCGGATCTTGTTTCAAAATGTGAATGTATGAAAACACCCTAAACATGGGCTTCTACCTGGAGGTGTATTTATATTTTATCTTATCTCGTGGACAGAATCCCCACTTTCTTAAAAAAAATCTGAATTGAACAAGATTTACCTTTCTAAATGTAACAAGTCTATCGTAGGTAGATCCTAGAAAACTATTATAATCATAGACTCAGTTAACACTATAAATCTAAACCAATCTAATCTGATAGACTGAATTCATCGAGGGCTGTTGATGTGTCTCGTGCAGATAGCACAGGGTGGGGCATTGGCCTGTCGCAAGGAATCCCGCCCGGTCCAACTACCGCGGGACAGGGTTCCCAGGCAACCTCTTCATGTTGTAGACCAACATCGTTGGAACTTACGTTCCAACAGCTCAACCGCACCAGTTTATATTTTTATGTTGTCAGTCAGTCAACACGAAAAAAACCTTCATACCCACCATCCTCACTCATACTATTGAAGTTAAAGCTTCTTGGCATTCCATTTTTACTTAGCTACAGTGCTTTCTGCACAACTCGGCAACGCAGAAGAGAGTTTGTCGGAAAAGTACACATTGAAGTATTAAAATTAAGACACCAGCTTTTAAAGAAAGCTATTAGCTGAAATCAAAACTGCTCCTTTAATGAGGTGTGGTATCAACTTCAAGAATATCTGGTAGTCATCAAATTCGCTTCGACACTTCGATGCAAATACTCTCCCTCACATTACCGAGATGAATGGGGCTTAACGCTGATGAAATACTGACTGATTCAAAAATTGTATAACCAATAATACACAATCAGCATGGCAGACCCATCCTCGCGTGCCTCAGCGCCAGATCTTGATATACTAGGTGATCAAGTCACCCTCCATCCTAGCGGCTATCTTGAGCCTCCTGTACAACAACCAGAGAGTGACCGAGAGCAGAACTTGGTCGAGAATACAGCAAGATTTCGATCTAGTCCCTTGGAGTATAATAGATCCCCTTGATACTTTGTGGCTTTTCGATTAACGTTACGTAGATTTCTCCGCGAAGTTTCTCTCCATGTTTCTGGAACAGGATGGCGAGCGTACGACAACTACATTGGCCAACCCATCTACTATCCAGGCTTCTCGGAAAAAATGATAGCTACGGTCCTATCTACTCCAATCCTACAATCAAAAATTTCGGAATTAGCTGATAATCGGATCGCAGTAGAGGAGAAAGAAGGCTTATTTGTACGGGATAATCCTCATTATGCAGCAAAAAAGTCACAGCGTAAGGAATTGATTGAAAGAAATCTTCTTGAGCTTTGTGAAAAACTCACAGGAGATATGATATGTAAAATGGAGAGCAAAACTTTTATCAGAGGCGCTTACTACGTGAGCTCTCAACTCTTGACTAAAGCTTACCATCAAGGTAAACCATTTTACACTTCTAAGCCTGAGTACTTCCTTGACAATTCTAGGTATTCATGTATCTAGTGAGGAGGTTATACGACTTCGACAAGTTGCCGAAAAAGCTCAGAAGGATAAACACAGCATAATATTCCTACCTTGTCATCGCTCGCACGTAGATTACGTTTCCCTTCAACTTATATGCTACCGCCTAGGACTCGGTCTTCCCACCGTTGTTGCCGGCGACAACTTGAACTTTCCTGGAGTAGGAAGCTTTCTTCAACATGCCGGGGCCATGTGGATTCGAAGGAGATTCAAAGATGACGTTCTTTACTCTACCCTTGTGCAGTCATACATCGATACCCTTCTCCACGGCGGCTATAACTTTGAGTGTTTCATCGAAGGAGGTCGATCGCGAACAGGAAAGCTGCTTCCTCCGAAATTTGGCATTCTTAACTTTGTTCTGGACAGTATTCTCTCGGGACGTGTCGATGACGCTATTATATGCCCTGTTAGCACGCAATATGACAAGGTCATTGAGACCGAAGGCTACGTAACAGAGCTTCTGGGCGTGCCCAAGAAAAAGGAAAGTCTTACCAATTTTCTCTCCGCCACCTCAGTGCTATCATTAAAGCTAGGGAGAGTGGATTGTAGATTTCATAAACCCTGGAGCTTGAAGGGGTTTATTCAACAACAACAGGCTCGAAAAACCGGAATTCCGAAGCCAATAAATTTTTCGAACGAAACAAACTCGGTCGCCCGACAAAAGCTGTTGCGGACCTTAGGATATAAAGTGCTTTCAGACATAAACGCCGTGTCTGTAGTTATGCCTACTGCTCTAATCGGTACAGTACTACTTACACTGAGGGGACGTGGTGTCGGGCAGACGGAACTTATTCGCCGAGTTGAGTGGCTTGGTGAAAGAGTAAGATCCAAGGGCGGTCGAGTAGCGCATTTCGGTAATGCGCCAACATCGACTGTAATTGAGCGCGGTCTCAATGTGCTGGGGAAAGATCTGATCGGTATAGTAGAGGGACTACCTGAACCAACCTTTTACGCAGTCGACCGCTTTCAGCTCTCATTCTATCGCAACATGACTATTCATCTTTTTATAACGGAAGCTTTAGTCAGTGTAAGTATGTACATGCGAATAAAACAAGGTGGCGGTCCTGAAAATCAGAAAATTAGCTATGAAGAGCTTCGAGGCCAAACTCTTTTCCTATCTCAATTGTTTCGAGGTGAATTCATTTATCCGACGAAGGGCTTCAATACAAATCTTGAGAATGCATTGAAAGCCTTAGAAACAGATCAGGTTATAATCTCAGAACGCGATCCAAGCGGTGAAATCGTCGCAGTTAACCTAGCGGACGCAGAAAGAAACGCAGGTCGGGAAAATTTCGACTTTTACTGTTTCTTGTTATGGCCCTTTGTAGAGGCATTTTGGCTAGGTGCTGTTAGTCTAATGGCAATGACTCCCCCATTAAATCACCAAGGCGACACCTGGCTTGATATAAAAAAGTGTCAAGATAGTGCTCAATGGGTATGTATTTATCTTCGCTCATATCATACACTGCTTACAATCTTGCCTACAGCTCGGAAAAACTTTATATCACCAAGGTGACTTATCATACTTTGAAGCCGTTAATCGAGAAACCCTCAAAAACTCATGGGCTCAGTTTGAAGATGAAGGTTTAATTATTGTATCTTCTGGAACTGGCGCCAGAGCGCAACAGAAGGTAAAGCTAGCTCCGGATTGGAAACCTCGGCGAGATCCTGAGACGGGCCTTCTCGACGCGGATGGCCGGCTATGGAACTTTATTGAGAAAATAGCTCTATCTCGGCGAGAAGGAAAAAACAGACGTGACGGGGCTACCGTTTCAACGCGGGTTTTAAGGCATATCGAGAAGGTTGGAGGGCGTTTATTTGGCGAACGGGATTGGGCAACGAAAGAAAATCACAAAAATAAAATGATGGAACGAACCAAAATACAGAACAAGGCGCTTTTGTGATCACATTATACACTAGATAATTTCTAGAAAACGTAACAGATACTATTTCTAGCAATAGAGTCAGTTGATGATTCATATAATAAAACGAAGAAGTTCCTCGCATTGAGGGGCTAACGAAATGAATTTAATGATTGATTCTTTATAACGTGCTAGGTAAAATGACACCTGTCGCACTCCTACTTGAACTTGAGCACGAGTGAGGCCGAGCTGGATCAGGTTGACTACCGTGAAGTACAGACATGGCTCGTCCCACCTAAATGACCGGAACATGCCAAAACGCATCTATGTGTTGAACCATGACGAGTCAAGCAGCCCAGAATCAAAAAAAATAAAATTCCACGCAAAATCCTGCATTACAAAGGAAAAACTTTAAAAATCTCCCTTCCATCGTTCTATCTCAGCCACCACGCGCCTGAGCCTCAATTCCAATCCCTCTTTACATGCCTAAATACCTAGGCTTTCGATCTATGACCTCTGAGTCACAGGTATCCCCGCCATCTCCCGACTAGCCACCGCGTATATGCCACTATCCTGGACGTAGTCACTGAACAGCTGCCATCTTTTTGGTCCGAGCAATGCCACAACCTAAGGTGCCCTCCGTACTCCGTTTTTTAGTCGCCATCTCGCCAGTGCTTTTCTACACCGGACAAGGTGACCGACTGAGTTTTCTCTACTACACTCGCAGTGAAGTGTGGCTGTTCTATGATTGAACCGACGGTGGCACGCCGCGAAGTCACCATGTTCTGATCGTGCAGCGATCAAGCGAGCGTAAACCGCTCTCAGAAGCGCTAGTTTTAGCGGTTTCTTGCGTTGTAACTCTCATTCGAGGTTGGCGCAGCGTATGGGGCGATTTGAGTGCCACCAGTCTGTAACCATTTGCCTAGCCAGTTGGCGAGCATGACGTCCTGACGAAGGAAAGGTTATTCTATCATTCGTCATCCTGGCGTTATCTGGCAAGTCGAGCTCTCTTTGAGCAAGCCTATCCGCTATCTCGTTTTCTGATAGCCCTGAGTTGTTACAAGCTTAAGGACAACAGGATAGGTTCCCTGGACAAGGTCTGGAGACCAATTAAGAAATGTCGATGGGGGACTATTCTCAACACCTGTCAGTGGTGTCCCCTACGAACCTCCAGCTCTCACTGTAGAGTCTACAGAGCCGAGATTGAGTAACACCTTATAAACTTTGAGCTGAGTTATCTCCCCCTCCGTCAAGGATACGCTTCCGATAACACATAAGACGACCAAGACGACGATAATGATGCTGGGAATGAGGAAAGATAATGCGGTACTAAACTCTACAACGGTAGTCAGAGAAGCCCTCGTTATATCGTAACATGTGCTACCCACCGGCGGGCGAACAAAAAGCCCACGAAAGCAATGTAAAAGACCCTTCCGCCCTCAAGAAAAGCAGATTTCGACTCGTCAAATATATCGTCCCTACTAATCTTAACTTCCGAATCTACTAGCCAGGAGGGCATCTGAAATACATGAGTTACTCGACAACCCCACGTCCGTAACGACTTTTGGATGCTAGGCTAGGCTCCTTCACGACAGTCACTCTCGACCAAGACTTTTCTGACATCCTTTCACGACCTTCGGTTTGTCCTGCGGCATGAATCAAGGGAGGAGTAAGGAGGAGGCTAGGAAGATTGAGAGACGCTCTCAGGTATATACAGTTCTGCTGCGCCCGGCAGGCCGGCCTCTTCGTCATAGGAGAGCCCCGTACCAAGTGGTTTTTGAGACTTTTCCCTGCAGCTACACACCTGCAAATGGCCATCGTTTCGTTGGCTGCAGAGGGGAAATAATGACGGGATAATGGCTCCTTTAAGTGTATGATCGAATGAGGACTTGTGAGGGGCGGTACTGTTTGAGGGGAGCTGTATGGGAGGCATAGGAAGGGATATACTACTGGTATAGGCATCCTTGGCCTGTGGGCAGAAAGGACCTACATGTCCTTACATAGTTGTAGACTTATTAGGACAATAAACACTCAAAACAAAACAAGTAATGTCGATCTTAGATAACACTAACATTACCCCTGTAAAATATCTTCACTCTATAAATCCTTAACTACACCGTAGAGACATCCTTTGGAAATCATTGTTTCAGATAATCAGAATAGACCTCGTTAACTTCGTTCGATTGTTCAGATCACGGCTCATTTCGTGACATATTCTGATAATCTAACTTCTATTCCCTCTGCATTCTTCACCAGCGACGTCTCGCGGTATAGGTAACTGCACATATCTAAAATCTAGTCTCAATCGATTTTATGAGCCTCTTAGACATCGTCTCAGCTCTCGACGACCTCCAGCTTGTTATGCTCAGCTATGTAGGATGGTAGATCTAGTAGCTGGTGCTTAGGTAGTTATTATGGCAGCATGGCGTTATGGCGCATGGAGGAGATCCAGTCTCTACATAATGACATTACATGTAGTAATGTGTGCATTACGAGAGATGGGTTGTTGATGTAGGACAAATGGCATGGCTGCTTAGTTGGTTGCACACTTTGGTGAGCTGCATACTGGTAATGCGGCTCCTAGTCTGATGTCTTCTAGCACAAAAGGGACGTGATAACATCCGCGACTGTACTGGTGAAGGTATTCAGACTACTAGAGTGTATTCTCAATCTAAGGTTTTACAATACAAAAGATATGTGGTGTGTGTGTCCGAGCGTGGCACGTGAGCGGTGTGTAACCTCATGGAACCTCACTAACGCGATCGGTCTACAAGCGAACAAACTGGGGGATAAGGGACGAGCTTCCCCGAATCTGTAACAAAACAATTATTGTAGTAACTTCACTTCTACATAATAATGAAGATATCTCTCCATAAACTATCTTAGATGTTCCAGCGCAAGTGTACAACCCCAAATCATATACCAATCATAATACAGCTTGCCGAATCCTAGCCAGCACCCCAGCTTCCTGCGACGATGTCTGACCCTATCTCAAGGAGCCGTGTTATTAGTATTCCGTAGGGTACGAATTTGGTACAAGTAGGTTACAGGTGTGGAGTATGGTGGTGATTCCTAAGAGTAGGAGGTATAAATTCAGCGTTAGGTATAGGGTTCACGTAAGAAGTAAAGGTAAAATAAGTAGTAGGTGAGAAGGGTACAATAACGGCGGTCTTCTTTAGAGAAGAGATAAGTAAGTGAACAATAGGTATGAGTATAAACAGAAGACGTTGCGTGAAGAAGAATACTCCTTCACGCTGGGTATATATGTACATCAGATAATAGGACAGCCCTAAGCTCTATCTCGAACAGTATTACTTCGCAATCCCTATGAAACGACCCTGTGTTCCTGAGCCTGTCCTAATTGTTTGAGAACTTGATCTAACCCCGAGTTGTGTTTTAGAATGGATCTCCCCATGAGACACCATCCTAGTTTCCGCCACGTTTATCCATGAAACCCTAAGCCATTATGTTTACACTCAGAATCTACAAAATCTCCAATCCAATGGCCCAATTGGTCAGGAGATCCTACAGATTTCCCTTCTTTTCACATTTGTCTCGAAGGGCTCGCAGAAGATAGTATCAATGATAAAACCTTCTGTTATGCAGTTTTTTCTCAATCCCTCCCTTCTGAAGCCCAACGACGGATAGCACCTTGGATGAGAGCCCAAAAGTTATTGAAAGGCTATGCTGAGCTGGAATGACGTACCGTTAGGATGAAGGTATGGAAGGAGGTAGCTATGGCTTTAAGAGAAGTAAAGTTCGTGAGTTATACTCTTAGGACTTGGATCAATGGACGAACTTGAGGATATTCCCTAGTATTCTCAAGTGTGTAAATAATATGGAGATTGTTTGAATTTCCTATTGTATGAATTGCTTAATTTAACTACGTGACAGGACCTTCTTCTATATACATGAATAAGGGGGTTCTGCACACTAGTGGATGTTCCAACATCTGTCCTTGTCTAACCGAGAAAGGAAGGATGTGAGAGATCCTAGCGCCAATAGATACCATTAGGAATCTATTGGGAAATACTATGTCATACCAATGAGTGAAGATTTAGGTCAATCATATCCCATGGCGCATGTGCACATTATTCTAATGTGAACAGTTTATTGTAATGCAGTCATGTTACTCCCTTAATTACAACAAAAGTTAGCCGACAACTGGAGCAGCGAAAGGCTAATCTCCCACCTTGAAGAACTTTTTGTTGATAGGGACGCCACATCCAGAGCACAGTCAAAGATTAACACGATTCGTCAAGGGCCTCGGCAAACCTTTGCTAAATTCAGATCCATTTTCGAACAGCTCTACTCTGAAGCAGAGCACCTTGCACCAATCAGTGCTTCTAAGGTTAATGCATTGACACTTGCGCTAGCCCCGCATCTTCAACAAGGCATAGCTTACCGCCAAGGTGTCTCCGAAACTAATTATAAAAGCTTCGTCAAGGAAGTTCAAAGCCTGGCAAAAAGATTAGAATCTACTCCTAGCTTTCGAACGATCCGAGGTTCAGACAAGGAGTAATACACATCTGAAAACAATCCACAAGTCTTCCAACCAGCCTGAGAAGTTGAACGTCCGGCTAGTCGAGTCCTTCTATCCTCAAGTAGGTCAGGCCAACCTCTTGTTCAATAAGATCGAGATGGAGATGTGCATATGGCGGATATAAACTCGCTACAAAGTCAAATCCAAGCTCAAAATCAAGCGATTTTAGCGGTGCTGAAAGGTGGAGATGCTAAAGATTCAGGTAGTAAAGGCCGAAGAAATGACACCCGCCCATTTCCACCAGAAGTCTCTCGAGCCAAAAGAAACCGTCGTATCGACAGCAATCGTTGTGAAAAGTGCAGCAAGACACCATCTCATTGGTGGGGTGATTGTGTATATCGGAACTTCCGCGAAAATCCGACGCCTAGAGGCTACAGCTCTTCTCGAAGATCAGGAGTCAGCTGGATGGCAACGGAACCCTTAGCCAACGACTTTGTTTCGGATTCGGAAAACTTATAGCCTCTGAGCAAATTCGTGCGCAGAGGCTAGCAGGGTATGA